CCCCCCCCCCCCTATTATATTGACATAATTAATGGACGCCCCCCACCCCACAAGATATCGTTTCCGGATAATTGTACGACAGATATTTCGTTCAATGAAAATTGTTCGAAGGAAGTCATTTCCAACGGAAGTTTGTCGGAAATTAAATTTGTTGAATGGAGATTAAATTATTATTATTTTTTAATAGTTTTAATTTGTCATGAAATCACAATTTTCTATTCTTAGGAAACTAGTTTATTTTGACACGAAAATGAGAAAGATTACATTTTGTAATTATATTCAAGGTTTTATGGCAAGTAACTGATTTCAAAATAGTAAAATGTAGTAATGAAAAATAATAGTAAAACATCAGTTTAAAAAAAAAATGCCTCTATGAAAGTAAAATGGTTTCAAATCCACTTTTCTTCTGGCTCAGATCATCAAGCGGTAAATACACGGGCACAAAATTAATCATTGTTTTTCATGCGTTTAAATGAGAATGTCTCTAAAAAGTTCAAACGTGACACAGGAAATCATTTGTTTAAAGAAACGACGAAATTAACCTTAAACGACGTCATGGAGACAACATAAACATCAAAAAAATATAATGAAATGTGTAATTCTTGAAAAGAATTGTGAGACATCCCCCATGCATCGTGCAACTCCATCGTTATATTTCCATCTAAACATTAGACATTTTTAAAAGGGTGAGGGCAAAAGGGGGGGGGGTGTTGAGGAGTGCGTAATGACGCAAAGCCTGGCTTAGACACACGAGTGGGATTTTTTTTTCCTTTTAGAAGAACAATAAACTAAATGATTAAATATATAGTTTGAAAACTATTTACGGTTAATGAAATGCAATAAACATGTTCTAACACTATCTCAATTATCCAGTCTAAATAATTAATGCCAGACTCGCATTATATACAAATATACATGCATACAAACTAATATATATATATATATATATGTACATATATATATATATAAACATATATATATATGTACATATATTAGTTTGTATATGTAGATATATATACCTATATATATATATAACAGGGACTCTACTCGAGAAATTAAAAAGACAATTCCAAAGCTACGTATAACAAATTGTTTTTCCTTACAAGCATGTTCAAGTGATATTTTAGTCTCATTTTACTATAGTTTTAGTGGCCACAAGGTAGCGTAACCTGGTATATATTAGTATACATAATCCATAATACTAAATATATACTTTATATATAAACACGCCAGTCCTATAATGAAAAAGAAGAACAGTGACAAGTTGGTGTATATAAAATATTAATCTCCTTCTTTATACACGAGATTTAATAGTCATAATACATGTTAATAGCTTGATTTGGCAGGACAGCACTATCAGAAAGGATTAGCCCACAACTAAATTTTGTCGAATGCCTATCTAATGACATTATTTCATATTCATCCATCAAATATTTCTCTCAGTTAGATTAATAAATTCAAATACATTTATTTTCCATGTCACGTGTTACTAGGTTCTAAAATATTAATTCTGACATATTCTAGATGCCCCTCTGAAGCCACCGTTGATGCACTAGTGGTACAGTACGTGTCTTTTGGGCTTTCATTAACACCATTGCTGGGGGAGACGTTCTGCAGATTCTTTTCTGTTGTCATGGGTACTCTGCTAGCATTATCTTCTATTGTTCTTTGCGAATATTCATTAGACGTGTCAGAATTTTGTGTTTCGTGTCCACTGTCCTCTGTCTCAGAGACATGAATATGTGTTTCGTTTCCACTGTCCTCTGTGTCGGACACATGATTATGGTTATCGTGTCGATTATCGGCTATAGCTGACATATGATTAGTTATGTCATGTCTACTATCTCCTGTGATTTGCACATAGCTCTGTATATCGTGTACGCTCTCTCCTGTAGCTGACACATGCTTATGTATGTCGTGTACACTATCTGCTATAGATGACACATGAATATGTGTGTCTTGTCCACTATTTCCTATAACTGACACACCACTATGTGGGTCATGCCCACTATTTTTTGTCATTTGCACATAGTTCTGTATATCATGTCCACTATCTTCTATAGTTGACGCATGACTATGTCTGTCATGTCCACAATCTCCTATCATTTTCATATTGTGCCGCACATCACGTCCACTAACAGCTGACACATCGGACACTCTGATGTACAAATCGTTGGATTTGTTGGATGT